TGTCCCCCTCCTACAGCGCTGCCATTGGCAGTATCACTCCACCCCCTGTTAACAATAGGTGTTAATTAGGTGTGAACGATAGCAATGTGATGTGAGTATCAGTCACATGGAGGCAGGGCTTAAATCCTGAATTTTGCCTGAAACTCTCAGACTGAAGAAGTCTCTTGGAGGAGAGACGAAATGTTTCATTAAAGAAGAACCCGTCCAGAGCTATAGACCTATACAATTTTTTTCCTTTTAATTCACCAGATAATTCAGAGACGTTGTGAGTTTGGTGAGTTTCATCACACAGGAGCTGCGAGCTGACTCGAGGCTCGCTTTCAGAACAATTTTTGTCCCGGGTCCAGTTTGATGAGCTGCTGACCCACATCGGTGCCTAGATCTCCTGCCAGCACACAGACTACAGGCACTTAATTTCAGCTAAAGAGCTCTTGTCCATCTGTCTCAGGTTAGTGGATATCATTCAGGAAACTCTCCCATCAGAAAATCTGTCACTATGTCACTCTCTGATTGGTTGACGCGGCGCATCGAGCTGCAAAAGTTCAGATTTTCCAACTCCTGCGATTTGCGCGTCGAACGCTCAAATTGCTCAAATCGTTCAAATCACGCCAGTCTCTTCGTGCTTGACAAGTCGCAGCACTTCCCGACGCTGCATGACGTGCGTCCACCATAGACTTTGCATGTAAACTTGACGCTCCTGATGCTGAAATCACGTTTGGTGTGAACAAAACAATAAAGTCAGTTCTCCTCTAACACCTCAGGCAGTAAAACAACAGTTCAAAACTGATTAGGTAATGAAAAGCAAAGTGAGTTGTAGGTTATGTTACTATTTGTCAAGGTTTTAGTCATCTGACAAGTTTTGGACCTCTGATAAACATGATGACAGAGATTCTGGTGAGTAAAACAAAGAATTTTACAAATACTTTCCAAAGTGAAGGTGTGGTTTGTTTAATATTCATGTGCTAAAAATTTAAAACAATGCAAACGTAAATTAACAGGCTTTTATGTCTGAATGCATTTGTTTTATACTTGAGTCTATTTTGCTTCTCCTTCTCTTTTATTGAATTCTACAAGCTGCTGCTTTGTTTCAGCATCAACAGTAACTCTTAGATTCCAGTTAATGTTTCTGTTTGGAAGACCTCCCACCTGTGTTAACATCACCCACAGTGGCCTGTTTGAACAAGGAGTAGAGCTTCAACATCTCATCATCCTGAGGTTTGGTCTTCAGCTGTTTCGCCTCAGCTGCTGCAGCATCAAACTTCGCCTGCAGAAAACAGGATACAGTGAGGATAAAGTTTTAGGTCAAGTGCAAAAAAAAAAAAAGTCCCTTACAGTCCTCAACCTCCCCCCGCTCCACAGTTTATCCATAAACTCATAGGTAACCATTTCAAAACTGTGAAAGTCTGAGTCTAGGCATGAACTCATTGTAAATTAACTTCAAACGACAAAACAATAATTTATCCATAATAACAAGTTTAATCAATTCTGGAGCATGCTTACTTTAAATTTGAGATTCTGCACATATTCAATAAAACACCTTGATCAAAGTAGCACAGATTTCCTGATTCATTATAGCAGCTAACCACAGTAAACACATGAACACTTTATTTGTGTATGTTTTCGTTTTTCAAAACTACTAGATTTTTTTATACATATATANTCCCGACGCTGCATGACGTGCGTCCACCATAGACTTTGCATGTAAACTTGACGCTCCTGATGCTGAAATCACGTTTGGTGTGAACAAAACAATAAAGTCAGTTCTCCTCTAACACCTCAGGCAGTAAAACAACAGTTCAAAACTGATTAGGTAATGAAAAGCAAAGTGAGTTGTAGGTTATGTTACTATTTGTCAAGGTTTTAGTCATCTGACAAGTTTTGGACCTCTGATAAACATGATGACAGAGATTCTGGTGAGTAAAACAAAGAATTTTACAAATACTTTCCAAAGTGAAGGTGTGGTTTGTTTAATATTCATGTGCTAAAAATTTAAAACAATGCAAACGTAAATTAACAGGCTTTTATGTCTGAATGCATTTGTTTTATACTTGAGTCTATTTTGCTTCTCCTTCTCTTTTATTGAATTCTACAAGCTGCTGCTTTGTTTCAGCATCAACAGTAACTCTTAGATTCCAGTTAATGTTTCTGTTTGGAAGACCTCCCACCTGTGTTAACATCACCCACAGTGGCCTGTTTGAACAAGGAGTAGAGCTTCAACATCTCATCATCCTGAGGTTTGGTCTTCAGCTGTTTCGCCTCAGCTGCTGCAGCATCAAACTTCGCCTGCAGAAAACAGGATACAGTGAGGATAAAGTTTTTGGTCAAGTGCAAAAAAAAAGTCCCTTACAGTCCTCAACCTCCCCCCGCTCCACAGTTTATCCATAAACTCATAGGTAACCATTTCAAAACTGTGAAAGTCTGAGTCTAGGCATGAACTCATTGTAAATTAACTTCAAACGACAAAACAATAATTTATCCATAATAACAAGTTTAATCAATTCTGGAGCATGCTTACTTTAAATTTGAGATTCTGCACATATTCAATAAAACACCTTGATCAAAGTAGCACAGATTTCCTGATTCATTATAGCAGCTAACCACAGTAAACACATGAACACTTTATTTGTGTATGTTTTCGTTTTTCAAAACTACTAGATTTTTTTATACATATATATAATATATAGTCAAGTAATTAGAAAAATTAAAGAGGTCAAATTCCTTCATAACATTTTGTTCATAATTTGATTTGTAAAAACAATTTGTTTACAAAGTAAAAAGATGCATCTGTAAAATAAGCTGGTTTTATRTTGAAAAGTTTTGATTACAGATATTGCTTTAAATAAAAAAAAACTTGTGGTCAATCATTTGGGAACTTACGTGGACTTGTGTAACAAAATGTTTCTGTGAACTAAACTAGATTTAGCTTAAGTGCCTGCTTTGGTCAACATATTCAATAATGATGACGTGGTGTATAATTATGAGTCTCCTGTAGGACGCAATATCTGCAGACTTTGATCTTTTGAGCATAGTGTCACATGAAACATGAATCTTGTAAATCTAGACCTGTAAATGTTACATTGTAGTAATACCATTTGCTCTTAATTTTCTCTTTACTTTATCAAATGTTTTTCCTTTAGGTATTAAAAAGAAAAAAAATTGTAATAAGGTGACTATTAATGAGACAATGATGAAAGAGTGATTTTAACGTTGAAAGAGGTCGTGTCTTGTCCTTTTTTGTCCCTTCGCGGTACCCGTAAAGCACTTGTACGCAGTGTATTACGTTAAAAAAAAAAGTTAAAATTCTAGCTGGAGGTCWGAGCTGAAGCAGGTGTCGTTCGGTGTACAAGCTGGTGCTGTAAGACAAGTGACAGTTCAACAAGACGTAGACCATGAAATGAATGAATGAAAGTAGCCGTTTCATGCAAATAACCTTCCAGATTCTACATTTTACCTAATAGTCATGAGTCAAATATGATAAAAATATCAAAAACGAAGCTGAAGCACACGATCTATTACAATGCAAACAAGAACACTAACGCACCTTTAATAAAAACTTTTTTAAAACCACTCGCATTACAGTATCTTTAATGGTGGTGCAGCCATGTTAAAAACAGCCCCTGCAGCGTCCATGTTACCGATATTTACCCGGACCTATCGGCGGGCTGACAGCTCCTGACACAGGACGCTGCAGATAAAATAAATAAAAGGTAAAACACAAACCTGGAGATCAGACATATTCAGTCAGACAGACAGAGTCGTAGGACGTGGACAGATCCGTTGGACTGTGGTAACCTCTTATGATGACAGAAGACTAGTCTCCTCCCCCCATCAGACCACCGTTATCTCCGCCACTGTATGGCAGGCCGTTTTCACATTTAATATGTCAACTTTTCCTGCTTTTGTCTTCTGACCGAAGTCGGAAAACACAGGGGAGATATTTCCTCCAGGGCCGAAGTGGATCTCGTCTTCGGGGTTAACTCCCTCTTGTGCCCATAACAGGGGCAAGRCACATAAAACACGGAGGCAATGAGATGCTGAAAAGCTGGTGATTTAATATCTGCTTGACTCAGGAATTACTGGCCATACAATTGTTTTAAATCCATGCTCTGGTCGCCGTCTAATACAAACTCAACCACACACAAAAACCGTCTTCTCTCTTATTTTCTCCCACGCATACAAAATAATACTAATAAAAAAGATAATTAAAAATAATAATAAAAAAAAACTGTGCGCAGCGCCCCCTCCTAATGTTTTGGTACTGCTGCCAAAACATTTTCTTCAACCTCACACAATATGCATTACTTTTGAGCTCCTTATCATATATAT